GACTTTGAATACTTGCAGCTGCGACCCGACTTTGGAAACTTGCAGTTGCGACCCGACTTTGGAAACTTGCAGTTGTGACCCGACTTTGAATACTTGCAGTTGCGACCCAATTTTAAAAACTTGCAGTTGCGACCCGACTTTGATTACTTGCAGTCGCGGCCACATTTGAAAAAACGGTAGATCGCGATCAATTATTGGAAAACTCACGGTTGGGACTTCATCTCAAACCTAACAGTTGCAACCCGGCTTGATAGATTATAATAACAACCCAATTTAAAAGACTTGTAGTTGTGACCAGACTTAAAAACTTTGGTCGCACAAATGTTTTGATGGAAAAACTCATGGAGGAAGCATTTATACCGAAAAGGAGGCATGGGCTTTGGTATCATTAGAATAAAACAAAAAATGACAGAAAAAAATAAGAGAAATAAAAATAGAAAATAATTTATAAAGGGAAAAAGCGAAACAGGAAATATAGAAAATGGAAAAATGGAAGAGAAAAATAAAAAAATAGTGATATCCCTTAACAATTAATTTTCAATCTAAGGTAACAAATGAATACGAATCTAAAAAACAAAATGAATACACTAAATTAGGAAAAGGGAGAAGAGTGGAATAGTGTTCTACTAACATATTAGTGAAATAAGAAAAAAAAACAATTAATCATGAGAGAAAAATATATGAAAAGAAAGTTGTTACAAAGAGCTGACCCTGGAAGCCACGGTCAACAAATGACCCTAACATGATTTAAAAAAGAAAACAAGTGACAATAACATGCAAGGAATAATGCAATTAGCTAGCAACGATTCACATCCTTCATCATATCCTCTTTGTCTTTTTTGGCTGGGTAAAAAAGAAGAAGAAAAGCCCATATAGCCAGAGAAAGACAAAAAAGCGTAGTACTGATGCACATGGGCTACGTCCTGTGCGAGACTAGCTAGAGGCGCGTCGTTTGGACAGAACGCACAACGACTACAATCTAATGTGCGACGATCGGACGGTCAAAAAAGTGATTGAGACCATAATTAAAACTCAGCTAGCTGAGTTTGAGCAAAACCGAGAACTAAAACTGAACATTAATTCTCAAGGTTTCTGACAGAGAAGTAACTCAACATTCAGAGAAGGCCACGACAGTGCACGATCATTTTGTCAGTGTGTTGGGCAAGAGGCATCCACGGCAGCGCATACTCAATTGGGACGAGCTACAAATTCCATCGGTTAATTTGCAGGGCCTGGACAACCCGTTCTCTAACCAGAGGTCTGGGCTGCGATCGTGGCCTCCCCTCCGCCCCTGAGAAGGCGCCCGGACCAGACGGGTTCATGGGAAAAAAAATTCAGGTCATGCTGGGGTATAATCAGCTGGAGAGGAAGTGATGGCTGTTTTCCACAAGTTTTATCAGATTGCTGTTATTTTTGCTAACCGGATCAAGGAAGAGGTAGACATACTGATGGAGCTCCTGCATTTCTTTGGACATGCAACTGGTCTGAAAATGAACCAGGAGAAATCTTCGGTAGTGCCAACCAGATGTGTAGACTTGCTATTGTCGGAAGTGCTACAGAACTTTGGGGGCAAATTAGTAAGCTTCCCGGAGTTTGTCCAATTGGCGGTAATGATGTGGGCTATATAGTTGGCACGGAGAAAGGCCATCCACGAAGGAATCTTTCAAAGTCTGCAAGCGACTAAGACATTCATAGATAGATTAATTACAGAGCTTGAATTACTCAAGGAGAAGCCACTGATGAGCTCACAAGTTGCACCTGGGATCAGCACAACTCGATAGAACTAAACCTGATCATGGGCAGCCCGGCCCGGGCCGGGTCGGGCTTGCTTCTCGGGTCGGGCTCAAGCTTTGTTTTGCATCCCGGATGTATACTCAGGCTGGGTCGGGCTTTTGTTCTTGCACTTTTCGGGCTGAGCTTACATGTCACAGCACTGGAAAACATCATTCAGGCCGGGCTCGGGCTTGAGAAAATGTGTATTGTCGGGCTTCTGGTCAGGCTCGGGCTTGGAGTTTGGGGTTCGTGCCTTTTGAAGCCTGTCCTAAAACCAGGTCCGGCCCGGCATATGATCAGGTTGAGACATAACCATGTGAGGCCCTCGACACCACCTCCTGGATATGCAAAAGTCCATGTGGATGGGGGTGTCTCATGCGAACAAGAGGCGGATCAGCAACTGAAGTGTGTGTGTGTGTGTGTCAATGATTCAGGTAATTATCTTGGGAGTTCGTCACTAGTCATCGAGGGATTACTTGATCCTGCTATGCTAGAGGCGATAGCATGCAGGGAGGCCTTGGCCCTGGCGAAGGATCTTCTTCTTCAGAATTTCACCCTCTCGTTAGACTCCAAGCAAGTGGTGGCCGACATCATCAAGGGCAACCAGGGCCACTATGGGTCCATCATTACAGAGATCAAGTTTCTAGTAGCAACTTTTCATTGTAACTTTATTTTTGAAGGTCATGCCGTTGACGGCGAAGCACAAAATGTAGCTAAGTATTATCATGCTTGTGGTCTGAGACGCCACATTTGGTTGGCTCATCCCCACGATCTGAATTGTATCCCACCACATGTGGACTATGATAAAAGAAACTTAGCTTTACCCCTAAAAATAATCAGTTCACTGTTGCTTGAACATTTTTTGAAAATCGTAACATTTTTTAAAATTTGGAACAATCTTTAAATGCATACATTTTTTTAGTATTTCAAAATATTTTTTGAGAACACAAACATTTTTTGAATTTCTGAACAACTTTTGAAAATGAGAATATTTTTTGAAATTCTCACCAATATTTTAAAACACAAATAGTTTTTTTAAAAAAATTGGCATGTTTTTTTGAAAATGCAAACATTTTATAAAAATGCTGAACCTTTTCATTTTGAAATGTAATCATTTTTAAAAAGCAAAAAAGGGGGAAAGATAAGAAAACCAATGAACACCTATAAACGAAACAACAGGAAAAAGAAAAACGAAAAAAGACCTGAACCGGTTAGGAACCTTCCAGAAGGTTTCGTAAACCAGTATATGTGGAATGCTAAATAGTCGCTTGACTCGCTCGGTCTGTGTGCTTGCTCGACAGACCGAATGAAAAGGGCGTCGTATAGGATTTGCCCTCGCTATATGATTGCTATGAGCGGTAGACAACAGCAGCTCCCTAGGTGTTCAGCCCGCACAATAGCAACCCACCAAGGCCAAAAATAAGAAGAAGGCACAAAGGAGCCCTCCTCGCTGCGCTGAATGCCCAAACACACACACCGCAGCCCTTCCCCGGAGCCCTGGTTTACATCCCGGATGTATATTCGGGCTGGGTCGGACTTTTGTTCTTACTTTTCGGGCTGAGCTTACATGTAACAACAATGGGAAACATCATTCAGGCCGGGCTTGGGCTTGATAAATGTGCATTATCGGGCTTCAGGTCAGGCTCAGGCTTGGAGTTTGGGGTTCGGGCCTTTCGAAGACTGTCCTAAAACCGGGTCCAGCCCGGCATATGATCAGGTTGAGACATAACTATGCAAGGCCGTCGACGCCATCTCCTGGACATGCAAAAGTCCATGTCAATGGGGGTCTCTCGCGCGAA